GCCCAGGTCCTTGGTGGTGCGGAAAACTTCATGGGCCTTGCCTTTCATTTGCTTGCGCTTGTGGAAGCCGAGCTTGCTGAACCTGATCACCTGACGCTCGTGCTTACCAAACTTGAAGTAAGGACGATGGTAACCATCTCTGCGGATGTCCAGCTTGACCTTGTAGAAGGGCCATGCCAGCTTGAGTGCAGGCATACTGTGTTCCACCTGAAGATTGCCAAGAGTTGCTCTGACCTTGTGTTGATGATTCTCCTTGAGAGCCTCATACGCATCATCGTTTGACATATTGAACCGTTGAGAGAGGTCGGGTCGAAGATGACCGTTGGCCATGCGTGTGAGCTTCTGCTCAACCCGCTGGCGTTTGGGACCACGTTGCGATTCGGCTTCCTCGAGAAGGAGGTAAGGATCGTTCAAGTCCAGAATAACTCGTTTAGAAGAGCGCTTTGTTACATCCTCAAATGAGTCGAATGAGGGTGCAGTGAAGCGTGGAATTTCCGGAAGACCCTTGGGCGGGGGCGGGCGTGTTTTTTTGGTTGGCGGCGGCTTGGTTTCTTCGTCATCCATGAACTCCTCCCAGTCAAAGTCAAACGCATCGTCGTGGGCGCGCTTGAGGGATGCTGCTTCTGCTGCATGGGCGGCGGCTTCTTGGTCTCGTTGCTTCTGAAAGTCGTGCTCTGCCTGCTCAATGCGGCCAGCCCAGTCGTCGCAAACCATCTCGATGTCCTGCAGAGTAAAGCCGGCGACCGCCTCGGAATCTGAGTCCTGTTCGAGGTTGAACTCTTCAGCCTCGGCTTCGTCCGACGATTCCTGCTGCGTGCATGTCACTAATCCCCTGGTGTCATCGTCGATACGCTTCTGCTTCCTTGTCGCAGCGGCAGTGCCTGGGATACGGAAAAGCTTCTCCTGGTCGGCCGCAAGATCCAAAGTCAACTTTGAGAATATCAATGTCTTAGGCTTTTTGGTCGGTTTTTTCTCGATCCATCGGGCCTTCTTCGGGGGGAGGAGTTCGTTCCATTTCAGGATGACACCCTTCTGCCATGTTGGCCACGCCTGCTTGACCAAATCTTCAACTGTCTCTGCCGGCGCGGGAATATCCGGGTCTTGATTAGCGGCCTCATAGCCAGGCTCGGGGTCGAAGTTGATGTCTCGGTACTGCGACGCATCGGCGCTGTCGGGATCGTGAACGTGAGGCGCTGGTGATGGCGGGCCGGGTATTTCCATTGGAGATGAAGGTCCATCGCCGAAGAGGTCGTCTGTATCGTTGCTCGTGCCTCCATCGTCCGTCAAACCTGGTACGGTGGATAGGGAAGTCGCGGGGTTGGCTTCGCCTTCCTCTTCCTCGGGCAGGTCATCGTCGCTAATATCCTCGTAATCCTCCGCATCGTCTGCTTTGCCGGACTGGTCGAATGGCTCATCCAAGCTAAAGCCCAAATCTCCTCCTTGTTGAAGCTGGCTAAGCGTGCGCGAAATTTGCTCGTCGTCCTGAGCCTCCAGGTCCTTTTGGGACTTGGGGTCCCCGTCGTCCGGAGACGGGGGTGACTTGGGGGGTTCGTCGCTCATGATGTCGATGTTGGCACAAATATCTCCCCTCTGGCACCTCCGATATTGTGCGCCGACGGGTTCCGGGTCTATACCATGCCTCGCGATGTGGTTGCTGATGCGATGGCGGCAGCGTTCGGTCGGGGGGAAGCTCGTCAGGTCGATGGGGCGACGCGTCAGTCGGCTCTGGGGAAGCAGGAGGGAAAGTTCACGTAGAGCCGCAGAAATTTGGGTGACTCAGGTGCGATTTCTGCAGGGGTGCCTGAGGCGGAAAGTGTCAGCCAATCAGCCAGCTTCCGCGAAGGCAGCTATCGTTTGTGGTCCGTGCCTGCCGTTTTTCTACCCCAGTCGAGACCACTGGCGGGGGCTGTCATACCTAAAATCGACCAAGGAATTCTTGACTTCGTGATGCCTCGGGATGTAGATACTTTGAGGCAGGAGCTGTAGTAACACAGATCTGTGGGTTGGAAAGTTATGCAGGCCAAAAATGTCTGTTCCAAGACCATAAAATGTGTGCTCAGAGGTGCGGCCCAAGAAGGAGGAATGAAGATTATGGCAATGTTGAAAGGCGCATTGTGGTTCAACCAGAAGGTAGGCAAGTGGGTGCAAGTGGGTGCAAGTGGGTGCAAAGGGGAGAAATTTGAGGTTCTTTTATGTTAGGTTCTTTTATGTTAGGTAGGAGGCCTAGAGTTAGTGATCGAAACTTGGGAAGGAGCTCCCATCGCGACAGTGCCTGCCTGAGGTACATTGGAAAATCTGCGTCAGGAAAGAAGCAGGCTCATAATACCTACCTACCTTAAGGTACCTTAACGTGAGAATAGCGCCCAAGTTTCGCACGTTGTTGATTTGAGATATGTTTGGTAGAGTTAAGAACAAACTTTTTTGGCTTCGTTGACATGATTTACTCAGCCTTATTGCTTAAGCACCTTATAACTGAGTGAAGCTAGCTTTCAGTTTGTTTCCAACAACGGATACAATGCATGCAAAAAGAAAAATCTTGCACAACTATATCTCGCCTATCTAAAGCTACCAAGACTTCCTTCCAGTCTGAATGTAAATTCGATCTCACCAACGAACTGAAGGATTGTATGCCTGAATAGTGAATGAATGGACTATTCCATAATTCAAGCCTTTGATGTTGACTTCAATCGCAACCATCAAGCGTGGGAAAATGAGCCCATATCGTCCTCGCGTCCCTCCAACTGTTTGGAAATGCTACGCGATATCCCTTCCGAAAGCCTATCCAGGGTCAAGAGCATCAGAAAGCGAGGGGAAACCCTCACAATACCGCGAGACAGCTTGGTTGACACTTTTGTGTGTATTCCTTAATAACTGTCTAGCCTGTTCGGCGGCTCACACTCATAGACACTACTTCCATCCACAACCATGACGATGCGTAATCTTTCGACGCCCTACCTTCTCTGATAACTCAGAAAAGACCATAATTTTATCGCAAAACTCCATACGCCGTCTTAGGTAACGCGAACGAATTGAACCACCCCGCCAGACTCCTGCTTTCCGTTCCTTTAACTCAGGAGATTCCAAGGCACCGGCAGCAAGCATTTACTTGCAGCGCTTCTCGACAATGCTCACACCGTTTTCCTCGTACTCCTTACGCGAGATCCACATCTGGTGGAACGTGCCCAAGCTGGCCAGAATACTGCCGCCGATCCAGGCACCGAAGCGGCGCTCGCTGGACAGACCCGCGGCGTGGATCTTGATCTTCAGGCCCGGGTACATGGTCGTCAGCTCGTTGTTGAGACGATCGTTAAAGCCGTTCAGCAAGCTGGTGCTGCCGGTGACGACGATGTTGCCCAGCAGGTTAGGGCGCAGGTCGACGTCAACGGCATTGAGCGCCGCGCGGATGAGCTCGGGGATGGTCTGGCTCTTGCTAAGGCGCAGCTCCTCGTTGGCCGTCGGGAACGCTGCCGTCTCGTCCCACATACCCTCCGAGACCTTGTACCGCTGTTCGCGCCACATCTGGTTGGCGCCATTGGGGAATTCAAAGACGCGGCCGGGTTGGAGCTTGGCGAGCTCCTCGTTCTGGGGGACGGCGTACTTGCCGGGGCCGCGCCAAGTCTCGACGACGGACTCCTTGAACTCGGTGAGCAGTCGCTCCTCCTCGTAAGTACGGAACGAGTCAGTAATGCTAAAACCGAACTGGCGCTGCTTGAACTGGGGGAGTGCACCCGCGTCGACGGGAGTCTTGTTCTCGACGAGGAACGTAGGGACGGGGTCGATCTTGGGCTCTGAGGTCTCCCACAGGCTACGGATCTGCGAAGACAGCCACAGACCGCCGACAGGAGACTTCTGGATGGATCTCTTCAGAACCATACCGTCGTGGATGGCCGTGACGGAGGTGCTGGCGCCACCGACATCGATGACGAGAGCGCTGGCCTTTCCGGCAGCAAAGGCGGCCAAGACAGGCGTTCGGCTCAGCCAGAAGGCAGGGCAGCCCCAGTTCTCCATGATGATCTCGATGGCCTTCTCTCTGGACTTAGCCGAGTTCCAAGGCGCCTCAGTCATCAAAAGAGGGTTCTCCTGCAGAGCCTTTTCCTGAGTCTCGGCATCCTCCATGGCGACGTCAGCATCTCCATTGGCCTCGCCTCCCTCGGTTTCCGTCTTAGGGTCGTCGTTAAGGCCGTTCTTAGAAGGAGGTGTAGGACGCGCGGGTTGGAGGCGAGTGATGAGCATGTGCTCCCAGATCTTGTTGGCAACATCCCAGTCCTCAACGACGCTGTCCTTGTTCATGTAGTTGCGGACCTCGAAGTCGGCGCGGGGGATCAGGCACTCGTCGCCAAATACATCGGTCGGGGGATCGTTGGAACCGACACGGCCGTAGAACGACGGAAACACAGACTTGGGGACATCCTCGCCTGCGAAGCCAGCGCGAGTGCTGCAGTATCCTGGGTCGAGAACCAAGGCGGAGACCTCATCTATTGCACGACAGTTAGACACGGTGACAACGCGCGCGCAAGGCGGCCACGGGACGGGGTTCCGCTGCTAGCTCACCTCCACCGTAGATGTCAGTCGGCTGCACCGACGAGGACAATGGCTGTTGCGACATTTTGATCGAGTCGGAGATGTGATGCGACAAGCCACCGAGATAATTGAGATGATTCGGGGGCGGTGTGGTGGGTTGTTGCGATGCTGCGCCTGATTGAAGGTCGCGTCGTGGTCGAAATTTGGCGTGGTTGGGTGAAGCTGCAAGGCTGAGATTTCAGCCACACCCCACCGTGTAGTAGCGCGACACACTGTACGAGCTCTCGGTGTGGAGCTTCTCACCGAGCGTCGGAACGATCACAGTTTTGAAGGACTCTGGATCGATACCTACCTACCCAATGCGCTGAGGTACAGGCAAACCAATCACAAGTATTTTAAGTGAAGAATATGGCTTCAAGCTTGCATCAAAGGGTATCTTATTCAATGTGTCATAAATCCTCACGTCCCGGCTGTCAGCCTTAGGTAACGATGTACTCGTCTTCTGACTCGAAATCTCTCCCTTCTCCATAAAGCACCTCGCAGGCACCTGCTAGCGGGATGTCCATTACCGCATCCGTCCCCTCATTCCAGATCTTCTTCCAATTCAGCCCTCCCCCAGGCAACCTATTATCCCTCTTGTCTCGCGACCTTCTCTTGGCCTGGCCGTCCCTCAGCCGCCCTTTGCTGTCGATCACTCCGACCTTGGATGCGTCGTCCACCACCGTCTCGAGTGAATTGAGCGGCAACGTCATGATCTCGACGTTGTAGAGAGCCAGCGCAATGTAGATGTAAACCCCCAACATGGTCAGAAACGCCGGTATCGCCAGCGACCACCATCGATTCGGGTAGTAGTAGATCCCCAACGCGTGCAGAAACGGCGACGGCAGGTAGGACCACAGCAAGTAGACGATGAATGTCAGCGTCGAGAAGAGGTACAGCACGAAGCCGTAGTATTCGTAAGTCGGGACCTGCGGCGACGCGCGGGGGACGGGCTCGAAGTCGTCGTCGGATGCATCGGGGGTTGTCGGTCGCGAGGGACGCAGGAGCGATGTCAGCGATGGCGAGGGCGGCAAGGGAGTCGGCGGACGACCGTAGAAGGGTGGCGCGAAGTAGTTGTGATGCAGCGGCCGCGGGGGCAATTCCTCGCCGTCGCTGGATTCTGACGCGATGGATTGGGCGTCTGAGAGGACTTGGTCTTCCTCTTCCGATGAAAAGGACATCATAACTTTGGGGGCGTCAGGCCCGAGTTGAGAGGGTGTTTTGCTGTCGAGCTTGTGCAATGACGAGGTTTGCGCCTTGGCTTAACTTCAAAGGGGGGTTGAATGTTGAAATGCGGTTTCCTTATCCACAATCACTCTGCGGCCCTGGAACGCGACCCGTGGATCCACCGCCGGGATGTGGACGGCAGCGGGTGGGGCCGTCTGTAAGTGGCTCGGCATCGATTAGGTGCCCGGACCTCACTGACTGCAAGCCATTCAGGTTGGCCATTGTTTGCCAATTCTACATTACCGAGCATGAAATCATACAAAGTCATGACCTGACTTTTGAATGATGAATCACTTAGCCGCTATGCTTAATTACTTGATTAAGAAGTCTCACCCAAAGCCCTACGGACATCTACTGAAAAAAAGAAGTAGAAACGAAAAATACGTCCGCACGAAGATCGTACAAGAGACTTAGCTTTCCTGTGCCACCATGTCCACCGGGGCCGCCCAGGTCTGACAATAGTTTCGTCTTAGTTGCATATAGTCGGATGAGATACCGACTGGCGATGCGTGGCCGCTGCGGGACCCTTTAGAATACCTCACCAGGGCCATACGTATGTGTGTGAAGTAAACTTATCCACTGGAGTTTGAATAACCAAGCCATGCCGTGGTCAGACAAGACAGAGAGACCAATGACTTGTGTACATTTCGTTGCTCCAGATATGCAGTTCCCAGACAAGCTATCGCAGGATACCTCATTAATAAGCTGAGACTATGTTGATTTGCCTTTGAGCTGGCCGCATCCATGAATTCGTGGTTTGACCTACCGGCCAATACACGTCATATTGGACATCACTCGCTGAGTACGGTCAATTGTTTCGAATCCGCAACTGCGCAAACCAGACGTTGGGCGTGAAATCCCACTCATTGAATCATGGCCACTATCAAAATCACATCAAGCAGAAGGGGAGAGACGCAATTCATTGAAATATTTGTAATGTTAATCAGCTGGAACTGAGCCCATCTATAGATGATCGATGCGTATGAATGAAAACCCCATAAACAATGCTTTTTGATACCTGAATAACAACCCATGAGCGGCCCGCAATGCTGAGCGCCTGCAACGAACAAACTTTGGCCCAAACCAAGACAACAACAAATGCTGTCAATATGGAAAATTCGAAAATGCGTCGAGAGATAGCCGATTCAAAACATTAAAGTCAGCCATATCTCGTACCCTCGTATATGCATTATTTGCAAGACTCGCTCATAGAAAACCATGCAAGACGGTGCTGAAATACAGAAGACTCATGAGCGGGCCGGGGTGCTGACGGAATCATACCCAGCCGATCCGTTCCTCGCCAATAACGGCTCCGTCTCCCGCCCGCTTCCAGACGCCTCTCCGCTCGAGGTGCTTGTGATCGTGTCGTCGTCGTCATCGGTGCTCTCTTCGTCGTCGCTGGTGTCGGGCGACTGCGTGAGAGCATCGCTATCAACGAGCATGTAGATGGGCACGGCGCCGATGATGGCGGTGACGGCGAGGAACCACCAGGAGGTGATGACGTAGCCCTTGCCGACACCCCAGGAGAACGCAGCACCGGCGGCGGCCGGACCGAAGGCGCGGCCGAATCCGGAAAACATCGTCGCGAAGCCGTTCAGGGTGCCGAGGATGCGAAGGGAGGAGGCGGAATTCGTGAGGAGGATCGTCATGCAGGGGAAGCCGATGATGACTGCGAATGCCTTTGTGAACATCACGACCATGAGCGCGGCGTAGCGGCTAAAGGTCGTCTCGAAAAGGACGGTGAAGGGGGTTAGGATGTAGACGACGGGGAAAGTCAGAGCTGCGCGAGATATCAGCATTGGCATTTATGCAAGCGGGAGGAAATTATACATACCGCATGCGCGGAAGCAGCGGAGGACACCAAAGTAGTTGCATAGCGGCGGGAAAACGAAGAATTGAATCACACCGCAGGTGATGCCATAGATTGTGAAGATGGTGCCAATGCGGTCTGAGCCAAGACCGAAGCCGCCAGAGAACTGGAAGGGCAGGTGGGTATTCTCTGGCGTATGCTCGACAACAGGGTAGTTGAGGAATACCGGAAGGACCTGGTCGTAAGCGACGGAGTGAAGAGCGAGGAAAGTGTAGCAGATAAGGTTGATGGTCGTCTGCGCGGTGAACACCTCCTTCATGCTGGGTGCCTCCAAGGGTTGCTTGTTGTCCTCGAGCGGATGCGCGGGTGGGTTGAGCTTGGTAGGCACGAGCGGCGCAGTAGCCTCGCCGTCGACGAAAGAGGCGCGGCGAGCGCGGGTGTTTGCGCGGTGGTAGTGGCGAGTGCGACGGAATGGACGAGTGAGGCGTTCGCCCAAAGTCAGGCCCCAGTCGGGCTCATGGCGCTTGCTCTCGAGAGTCTCTTTCAGGAAAAGGGTCGCATTCGTAACGGAAAGGAGGAAGAAGACGGCAGCGAGGAGGTTCGGCAGGGCAAAGGGGTAAGTCGTGAAGAACCAGCTGTCGCCGAAGATCGAGGGGAATCGGTCGGCGGGCTTGGCGAAGAAGCCACCGAAGGCGGGGCCGAAGATGGAACCGACCGACCAGACCAGAGGCATGATGGAGAAGGCTCGGGGCTGTAGCTCTTTTTCGGGCACCATTTCTGCTACCATTGTGCGGATAATTCCGACTGAATGCGCATGTTAGCTGAGACATCATTGGTGATCGAAACTAATGGGTATGCTTACCATTACCGTTACCACTGCCCAAGATAGCGCGAACAGTAATCGCCATGGGCAGGCTGGTTGACATTCCCCAAACAACGAAGAATACCATAGTCGAGAGCAGACCAACAATGATTGTCGGTTTCCTGCCAAATCGATCGGATGCTCTACCCCACGGGACTGCAGTACAGCTCTGGGCCAACGAGAAGACGGCGGATGTGATGCCGGCCCATCTCGCAACATCGTTCTGTTCTACTCCGAAACTTTTGATCATCTCTGGGAGGTACGGAAAGACGGAGGTCAAGGCGAGCGGTTCGGCAAAGCGGGCGACGGCTACACGGGACTGTTAGCGATGCAGAAGACGGACTAGGTTGGAGGACACCTTGAATGAAGGTTTCGCGATGCATATGACGTCGGGCGCAAGGTGTAATCTGCAGCAGTGACATGCCAACCGCCTTGGGCTTGGTGTATGAAGTCTCGACCTCGGTCGGTTCACATTGATCAGGCAGCTCGGAAGACCAGGACCATTTTCCACGTCGCATTCGAAAGTAAGATATGGTAGGCTTAGGGGATGTAAGTGCGTGGCTAAAGGACAGGCGGCTTCGGGCAACAAGACGTGAATTTCCCAACCGACCCATGCGCTCTCGACTCTCGTGTAAACGCTTCCTCGTAATGCTCCAAATGTTTTCTCTTGTGTGATCCCGGACGCCGCGATGTGCCTGCTTCCTTGGCTGTGTAAAGGCACTTGCCCGGCACTAGGTGGTGTTGCGCGGATTCGCATTTGTAGATCAAATGTAGTTAAAAGCAATCGCAGTAACAAGTTTTGAAAAGCCGGGGCGCGTCTTACCCAGAATGGCCAACTGCTTCGCGGGCAACTTGGGCTTTGTTGGCTTGGTCATATTGAAGATCTGTGACCGCAAGTATGGGAGAAGACCAAGTCGCGAAGTTCGCAAGGATCGATGTTACTGCCGCACGCTGAAGTAAGTGATCGACCCGGATGGTAGTAACAGATTTCAGCGCTGGATCCTTGGTGACGTAGTAATTCTCCGTCGTCTGCGCTTGTGCGACGTAGGGAATAGCAATAAAGCAGAATAAGTCGGGAAGGGGCAAATCTAGAATCGAGGGAAACCAACGGCCTTTAAAAACAAGGTAGGGAAAAAGGCAGAACTGGAGAAGGGAGTCACAAGAACACAAGCAGCGGATGGGAAAGGCGGTTCGTCAAGCGCAAAGAGCAGAAAAAAAGAAAAAAAGTCCTAACGGGAAAGATCCACTTCGATGTCTGCAGGCTCGCGGCTGCACTGGGCCGGACAGGGAATAGCGTGGGTAATGTATCCGCACCGGAGCTGGGGAGTCATCCGCCCCTTCCCACCTCCCACCCCAGCTTCCTGCAGAAGTTCGAGCCCCGTGAATGGCAGTGGGAATGTCTGGGCAGCGGGCAGGAAGGGGACTCGACCTTTTCTCCGTTCTCTTGCACCGATCCCGTCCAATAATGCTGACGCAAGTCTCTGTATTCCGTCTGGGCCACTGGCTGGAGGGGGACAAGAGGGTTGCGGTTTGGTTCAAGCAACAAGTACACCGAATTCGTGGAGGGGCGAATATCTGGCCGTACGCCTCCGGGCGGGCCACCATTGGAACCGCCTCGGCTTCGCCTACCGGGGAATAGCCACTAGCTGGAGCACCGCTCTGGAGGTGGGCATTCCCGCCTGCCGTACCCTTCCTTACTTGGCGTTCACCAAGAAGTACCCATCACGGTTCGTGGGCATAGTAGGTCAGCATCAGCATCAGCGCCAGCATCAATGGTCGTGTCGACATACGGCGGTAGTAAACAGTGACGTGAGCGCGAGACGCGAGGGAAGTAGTCGAAATGCATTGCTGCGCGTTGGCAACAGAGATGGGATGATCGTGGGCATAGATGTGTCTCGGATATGGACTGGACGGGTCAGTGAGAGAGTTTGGCTTCTTCTCTGCAGATTTGTAGGGGACGCTGGTTCGGCTTGCGCGGTGCCCCGTGTTGCTGGCCACAGCAATCCTCCATCACGGCTTCCCTGCCTGCAACCGCTGCTGCTGAAGCGAGCGAGGAAGACAGCGTTCCCGGTGCGTTCCCGGTCGGCCCAGGCCAGACCACGGTGCGGTGCGGGCAGGCGGTCGGGAGGTGTGCGACGGGTGTTGGAACAGGGGGGGGGGCGATGTTTGCTGCTGGAGATGGATGGTCCGGCTGCACTGCGACTCCGCGTAATGCCTGCAAGCCGGCCATTGTGCACGCTTCCAACGGCCGCCACAGAGGGTCCAATTGTCGGCAGAAACTTTGTGGTTGTTGCTCCTGTTGTTGGAGTCGGTGAGGGTGTGAGGGAAAAGGCAGGGGTCCTCGCTGTATGACGATTTGTGGTTGCGCCTCAAACGCAAAAGTAGAGATACTGCTGTTTTTTTGGACGAAAAAGAAGTTGCACCCCCCGCAAGTTGCCATGACGTCCAGCCTTCACCATGGTGGGGGGCCTCTTTTCCCGGCGGCGACTGACCGACTTCGCCGAAGCCGGGGCCGAACCTCGGGGTGGCTTGCAGGAGCGTGGGCGCAGAGTTGGCAGCTGGACACGATGACACACTAGGGCGCACTGGCTCCAGCTGAATAATCATCACGGGCCCATTGGATGTTACGCAGGGAACACCCTATTTGTTCGGCTTGCCAGCGCAGCATTCGGCATGAAATCTGAACATGCGAATCCCTAAGACAAGACGTGTGCTGTCGCTGCTTCATTCAGAGACATTGCACACCGCCAGACGGCAACATAATAGCCAAAGGCGCAGCGTCTCGCACTCAAAGACTTCAGCTTCGGAGAGTGGTGGTTTCCAGGCAGCGTATCCGGGAAGAGTTTGATTGAGTGATTGGACGGAATCCACCCAATCAATTGCGTGATCACCGGGTGTTGGCCGATATCCAGTCACAGGCGCAGGAGAAGGGAGGTTGTGTGTCTCGACTCTCTTGACTCGAGGGGCTGAAGGGGTTAAGGGGAACAGGCGGCAAAGGCGTCGCCGCTAACCAAGGTGAAGAACGGATGATGCAACGCCTGTTCTTATGATGACGATGGATCGAAACTGTGTTTCCTCTGGCGTGCTTATATTCCCGGGCTTGTGCCATGCTAGATCGGACGCAGTAGGACTGTCGATGCGGTGTCACGGGTCGAATTTTGAGGGGTCCGATCTAATGAGATAAGCAGATAGGATAGCCCACGCCGACGAGTCAACCGCAACGACGCTCCGTATCTCGTAGCGTGGTGAGCGCGCCTGTTATCTCCAGAGTCCGGTGTTGAAGTCGGCACCGGACCGCCGATGACCCCGCAAAAGCCCCCCAGCTCGCCTGTGTCCCCGAAACAGGAAGGAGGCCAAGCCCATGCGTCAACCAGTGCTGGAAGCAGGCAAGCTGGGCGGGTTCTCAGTGACTGTCAGCCAAATCAGCGCTCGTGGGTGGCCAGTGTCAGTGGAGGCGTCACCACCCGGCGGCAGCCGATCGGCAAAACCGTTACCCATTGACGCTTGATAACATCAACTGAAGCACGCAATGTTCGTACCAGACTTGTAATCTCTCCAACTCTGTTCCAACTACATCTCTGGCGGCAGGAAAAAAGCACAGAGAAGAGCTTGTCAATTGCGTTCTGGTGACGGCTTCCGGTGCTTTTGCAAGATGGCACAAGAGTAAGTACGCGTTGCTGTCGTCCTCGTGCGACCTTTTGGAGCTCTGTGTGGTGCCTGAGCTAGTGTGGCTGGTGGCCGCGCGATGATGCAACCACCATCGTAAGCCACACGTGCGCATCCGCGTCTCATGTTGCTTTCATTCATCACTTCACGCCCGTCTCGTTCCCTATATCAGAGTTTCGCGACTTCAGCTTTCGAGAGCTGCGTGATATAGACTCGGCTGACACGAACCACAGAAAGCGCTACCACGACAAAATGGCTAATGAGCGGACGCCGCTCATCACTAACGTCTACGTTGGTGCGCCCCGACACCGCTACCAGAATCACGTCCTGCGGCGCTTCTGTACCATCGCGCTCTCTTCCATCCTCATCTTTTGGTCCGTCTTCTTTGTAGTTGCGCTATTTGTCGACGACCCACCCCGACACCACCACCATCACCACCACGGCTGGTCCCTGACCAACAGCTTCAACCTTGCGCCCATCACTCACGAGGAGGTCCAGAAGATCCTCTTTGAGGTTCCCTCATCTGAGAAGGCCGAGGAGTGGAGCAGGTACTACACTGCCGGCCCCCATCTCGCAGGTCAAAACTACTCTCAGGCAAGTAATGTGATACCACTTGCGAGCAAACAGCGTTTAACAGCCCGACAGGCTTTGTGGACCAAGGAGAAGTGGGAGTCTTGGGGCATCCAGTCCGACATTGTTGCTTACGATGTGTACATCAACTACCCCGTAGACCACAGCCTTTCTCTGCTCTCCAAGTCCAAGGATGAGGAGGAGTCCGCCTGGAAGGTCGACTTCAAGGCTGCGCTCGAGGAGGATGTGCTCGAGGAGGATCCCAGCTCCGGTCTGCCGAACCGCGTGCCGACCTTCCACGGTTACTCCGCCAGCGGCAACGTGACAGGATCCTTCGTCTTCGTCAACTACGGCACGTACCAGGACTACGAAGATCTCGTCAAGGCCAACGTCAGCCTCGAGGGCAAGATCGCCATTGCCAAGTACGGCGGCATTTTCCGCGGCCTCAAGGTCAAGCGTGCGCAGGAGCTCGGCATGATTGGTGCTCTGCTGTATAGCGACCCTGGTGACGACGGCAAGGTTACGGAGGAGAACGGCTACGAAGCCTACCCCGATGGCCCCGCCCGTCACCCGAGCGCCGTCCAGCGCGGAAGCGCCCAGTTCCTCTCCGTCCGGCCCGGTGACCCCTCCACTCCGGGTTACCCCTCCAAGCCCGGCGCCCCTCGCGCCCCTGTGGATGATGCCACTCCTTCTATCCCCTCCATCCCCATCTCCTATGCCGACGCCATCCCTATTCTCAAGGCGCTGAATGGCCACGGCCCCTCCATCAAGGACTTCAACAAATACTGGAACCGTAACCTCGGCCTCGCATACAGGGGCGTCGAGTACAACATCGGCCCTACCCCTGACAACGTCGTTCTGAACCTCTACAACGAGCAAAACTACACCACGACCCCTCTCTGGAACGTCATTGGTATCGTCAACGGCACCATTCCCAACGAGGTCATCGTTGTCGGCAACCACCGCGACGCCTGGATTGCCGGCGGCGCCGGTGACCCTAACAGCGGCTCCTCCGTCCTCAACGAAGTCATCCGCGGCGTCGGTGTCGCAGTCGCATCCGGCTGGAAGCCAACACGCACAATCGTCTTCGCCTCCTGGGACGGTGAGGAATACTCCCTCATCGGCAGCACGGAGTGGGTCGAAGAATACCTCCCCTGGCTCTCCGCCGCTTCGGTGGCCTACATCAACGTCGACGTTGGCGTCCGCGGCCCTCACTTCAGCACTTCTGCTGCACCCCTCCTCCACAAGGTCCTCCGCGAGATTACCCACATCGTTCCCTCGCCCAACCAGACCGTCCCGGGCCAGACCGTCGGCGACGTCTGGAATGGCCGCATCAGCACTATGGGCTCCGGCTCCGACTTCACCGCCTTCCAGGACTTCGCCGGCATCCCCTCCATCGACATGGGCTTCGGCGGCGAGAACGACGAGGCCGTGTACCAGTACCACTCCAACTACGACTCCTTCCACTGGATGGAGAAGTTCGGCGACCCGGGCTTCGTCTACCACCGCACCATGGCCCAGATCCTCGGCCTCGTCGTCGCCGAGCTCTCCAACGTGCCCGTCATCCGCTTCAACGCCACCGACTACGCTGACGCCCTCTCCGGCTACGTCGACCAGGTGGAGGCCAAGCTCGCCGCCGCGGAGCCCGTCAGGGACGACGAGGTTTTCCGCCAGCGCGCCAGCGTCGCCGTCGCCGACGCCGACGCGCAGGGCTCGCAGTCGCAATTCCGCGCCTCCCTGCAGGTCCTGCGCACCTCCATCGCCGCCTTCCGCGAGAAGGCGTGGAACCTCGACGAGACGGCCGCCTGGGTCGACTGGGAGCTCAAGGAGGACATCCCCTGGTGGAACATCATCCGCAAGATCAAGCTCGGCCTCGCCTTCGTGTGGGTGAACAAGAGCTACAAGGGCATCGAGCGCAACTTCCTGTACCCCGGTGGCCTGGACGGCCGCAGCTGGTTCAAGCACGTCGTGTTCGCGCCCGGTCTGTGGACTGGATATGCTGGAGGTAAGTCATCCACTCACTCGTGATTTTGATACTGAGCTTTGATTGCTGACGAAACGAAGCTGTCTACCCTGGTCTGCAGGAGAGCATCGATGCCAAGGACTACATCAACGCCGTCAAGTGGTCCGGCATCATCAACGAGTGTGTCGCTTCTGCCACCAAGGGCATCTAATTGGTGCGGAGGGCAAGGTAATACCGTATGTCAGCCACCAATAACGTAAGTAGACGATGGCCGAGCTTTGGATCAATGTTGTGGGCGAACCGACCTGTACGATACTTTCATAGCGTGGTTGCGAATTCGTTATATACACAAGTATGCAGGAATATCCAACTTGACAGGTGTAGCTTAGTAGGGTCAAACTTCCAACTTAAGAAAGCAGCCGTACCTGATGTTGCCTTGCAAGAAGGCGTTGACCTTGACTACGAGCCAGGGAGATGAAGGGGAGAACGGTGTGTGAAACCAATGAGACAGATTGCGAACCCCTCTCGGCGGTTACAGCAGCGTTTGCAAAATCCGGTAGACTTGGGACGTGTTGTTACCATTGCAAACCCCATGAGCTTCATCAATTTCACCTTCAGCACAAGCATGATCCAATCGACTGAACCTCTCTCTTTTAGGCTTTACGTGATCTATGCGTCTATAGCCTTTAGTAGTCATACATACATTCCTCCACCTCTTTTGTAACATCTTCCATCTACACAGCCTTAGACCGCAAACCTTAGAACTTGTAAACCTGGTCGGGAGAGTATCCCAGCTCCTTCAGGACACCGACAAGCTCGCCCTGGTCCTTGGGGCTCTTCTTGTTACCAGAGACAGCGTTCATCAGGCCGGGAGGGCCGCAGACAAAGACCTTGATGTTCTCGCTCTTGGGCTCGGGGAGGACCTGCTTGAGCAGCTCCTTGGTGATGAAGCCCTTGCCGCCGACCCACTCCTTGGGGGGCTTGTCGAGGACGTAGAAGGCGCGGAAGCGCTGGGGGTACGTGTTCTCGAGCTCGGCGAACTCCTTCTTGAGCAGGATGTCCTCCTCGGTGACGTTACCGAAGACGAGCGTGACCTTGGTCTTGTCGTCCGGGTTGCTGAAGATGGCGCGCGCGAGCTGGTACATGGGCGTGATGCCGGTGCCGCCCGCGACGAGGGCGATGTGCTCGTGCTTGTTGGGCGTCCAGGGGTACTTGGGCAGCGGGCCCTTGAAGTCGAGGCGCTGGCCGGGCGCCATGTCGTGCATGTGCGTGGACATGGGGCCGTTGGGGTACTTCTTGACGAGGAGGTCGACGTAGCCCTTGGCGTCTATCATGATATCATCAGTCAAAGTTTCTTGCAATACGTTTCCCCGTTTCACTTGTTTTCCAGGACCCAATCGCCACGGGAAAAGGAAGAACATAACTCACCCTCATCAGAAATGGGAGTGTAAGGCCTCAGGGTGGCCTTCTCGTCCTCGGGGCCCTTGTACTTGGTCAGGACGGCGCTCGCGACGTCCAGGCCGGAGACCATGTCGCCCTCGGGCAGCGCGAAGCGGAACTTCTTGGTGTTGTGGTTGACGTTCTCGATGGCCTCGAGCTTGAGCGAGACGAAGCCCTGGTCGCCTCCCGTGAGGGCCTTCTTGGGCGCGACGCCGACGGCGGCCTCGGCCTTCTGGACGGCGGGGGAGCCCGAGAAGAAGTAGTACGCCCCGCCGGCGGCGGCAGCAGCTCCGCCGGCGATCAGCGCCGCGCTGGAGGAGGAGGACTTGGCCGCGGGCTCGGTCGCGTAGCGGCGGGCTTGCTGTGTGGCGGGGAACATCCAATGGTCAGCTCAAAAGTTCCTGTTTGGAGCTTGCTTACGGCGGGAGACAGGGCCGAGTGGGAAAAGCGCGGGACAAGGTATGGTGTGATGATGCCAAACAATCTAGCATGCCCGCCGCGGGGAAAATCTGTTGGAGCAAGGGTGAAGCGTACCATCTTGAGGGGCTGCGCAGCCCGGAGAGCAGTGCGAGCGAACATTTTGACGGTTCAATTGGCGGTATTCGTGACCGGAGACGTCAATTGAGGGTTGTCGTGGATTGAGAAAAGTTGCGGTGGAAGAGAGATCCGACTCGCGGGCAGGTCGAACAGCTTGGGGGGGTTGGACCCGAGACAGTGGGAAGGAAGCTCTCTACCGAGTAACCCGCCGGGTAACCCGCAAAAGCTCTGGCCTGCGCCCGCCGGTGGATGACGTACAGGTCACGTGGGATGCATCCGATTCCCCCGATCCCCGCCGATAATGGGCTGGCCCCGGAGGCCGCGCCAGGTGCAAAAGCCGGGGTATTTCTAAGCAAGAGCTGACGACGTGCTCACAGGGTTGCGTTACGAGCTTGGCCTACAGGCAGTGCGGCGCGACGTTGATGGTGTCGTTTGCGTCCAGCTCAGACTGCTCGGACTGCTTAATGGAATCTAGTTGGGACAGGGTCCAAGAAGTTCATTCCTCTGGCGAGGAAAATGGGGGGTTTCCCGATATATTATATACAAGCAAACAGCTTCAGTTGCCGAGAGCTTAACTAAAACACATCTTCACTTTCATCCGCCGCTCGAGCCGGGTATTCGAGCGCGTTGTTCCTCCATTTGAAGCCACATGCATCCTCCGTACCGTATCCTCCCGTCCTCTGCTTCATCCAAGCTACATGCTGAAAGCGACCGACCAGGGGCTCCTCTCTTTATGTCTCCTGAAATACAACGTTACGCCTCTTGATCATCAAACCGAAATCAGAAAACGCTCCTCCCTGACGTCCCTCATAGTACATGATTCATGACTGATCCTCCAGGGAAAAAGAATCTGCCAAGCCAGAAATCTAGCCGTCGAGTTTTGCTGCCAACGCGTGCCTTTTGGCCATCATGGCCCATTGTCCGTCTCCATGGCGTCGGGATCTGCGGGTTTCTCGCTGGGGGTCTTTGCCTTTGGTGTGCTTGATCGATCAACCGTCTTGGGCTCGGTTGGGGTCTCGGTTGTGGTCTCGTTTGTTGCCTCCGTCAAGGGGGAGACCTGAGAGTCGCTCTTCTTCGCGGTTGTGTCCTGGCTGCCTCGGCGCATGATACCGACGTCCTGGTGCGAAGCCAGCGTCGGCGTGTTTGCTTGGCTGCCACCTCTCTGGCCATGATAGTGGACCACTTGGGGCGGGGGCTGACCGGACTGAATCCCCAGCTGTTGCGTGGGATAGGGGTCCAGGTCTTTGCTCGAGGTAGAAAACGTGGATACTACAGGTTGATGGTAACCGTTAGAAGACTGGCTTCCTGTCGGGGTATGGCCGTAGGTGAGATGCTCCGCTTGGGTCGGGGTGCCAACGTCGTTTGGTGAAGTCGAGCCCTCACCTAAGTTTCCAGTCAAACTGTTCATACCGCCTTCGATATCTCGCAACAAGCGAACATATTCTTCGGGGACTAATCCACTCTCTTGTGTCTTGGGATCCTCAGCCACAAGCCAGCCTTGGCCGTGTCGGTAGGAGACCCAGATGATTTGCCCCTCCACAAGGGGCAATTCGTTTTCGTTTTCCCTTTCAAAGTCAAAAAGTGCGACAGCCTTGCCATGCATCTCCTCGTCAGGCGATGTAATGGTGAATTGGTAGTCCCGCGAGTACCGGGACTGGTCCTCATCTCGGAAGCCGGGGGATGATGCGGAGCTCGATGCATCAGAGTACTCGTGTTCGGCGTACTGCCGCGGGGGTTGGTCACCCAGCTGGTATGCGTGGCTTGAATGTCTCGCATCGTCGGGCGGGTAGGTGACATACTCCCCGCCTGGGCCGTTTGCCTCTCCTCCTTGGTTCAAGTAGTATCGCTCGCTGCCATCACCGCTGGTGCTTACATAAAACCCGCGCTCTCTTTCATATTGTGCCGGGTGCAGAATATCTCCATCGTCGCGAGTCTTTGTTCTCCCAGTCCCCAAAGCCGCGGAGGACGACTTGTGCTTACGGTGTCGCGAGCTGACAACCGGGCTGGCCAGATCTTCGTCCTCGCTCCAAGGCGGGCCGTCTGCGAATTGCACCGAGGGGAGGTCGTGATTTCTGCCGAAGCCATCAGGACCCCACGCGCCGGTATCCCAACTCATCTTGGTCTCCCAGGCGGCGGGAGGGTCGGAGAGGCGGCGCGACTCGCTGAGAGGGGTGCTGAGGCCGGAAGCGGGATGCGACGGCTCTGGCGGGGGACCATAATGCATGGGGTGCATGATGGGATAGGCGAAATCGCGCACCAGAGTGTAGGTGAGGCTCGAAGGAAACATTGGAAATATGTGGGATGGGGGTCGCGAACGCGACGGGACAGAGCCCGTCGAGTATTGCGACAGGCGATTCTTTGAAGCGTGCGACATTGGTCTCGGGGCTGTCGAGCGGCGGCTTGGAGGGGAGGTTATTAGCGGCGGCAGTGAGGGGTGATTCGGGTTTGTGGAGGGAGAAGCAGCTGCAGGTGGGGATGTCGCGGGCGAGGAGCTTTGGGACAGGAGCGTGGTCATCCTGAGAATATCGCAGTCGATGGGGAGCCAGCAACAGGATGGCGGGCACCCGATTCGCGGATCCTACGGCGTCGTGTGCCACCAAGCCAACAAAAAGGCCAGCAGAACAATCGAGCGCTTGCCGTCGCCGGAATTGCAAGAGAATATGATTGGTAAAATTCGGTGTCGGGCCACAGCAGGCGGCGGATTCGAAGGCTTGCGCGCGGGTGGTTATCGTGAAGTCGTGCGGCACTGCACTGCACTGAAGCTGGTTCGAAGACGGAGCCGGACGGAGTGGTGAATGGAACGATGCGAAATCGAACAGGGCTGGTGGAAAGAATTTTGGAGCAGCGGTAGCAACGGACTGGCCAGGTTGTTTTTTCGCAAAATGAAAGTCGTCGCACGCGACGCTGAGGGTTGAAATCGAGTAAGGAGCGTCAAGAACTTAAGGCAGTCGCAGCGGGCGATTAATTCAGGTCGCGGGGTCGCTCGACGTGCGACAAGAGGGTGGGTTGTAAAGAAGAAGGTGTAGAAAATGGGATAGGCGGGATGTTGAGGAGGGCGATGAGAAGAGAAGAAGAGGATTGGAAGAAGAACAGAGGAGGAGCAGAAGGGGAGGAGGAGGTGAGGTTGGGAATAATTCGTTTAGGTTCGGGTTGCCGGTGCTGCCTCACACTCTGCTTCTACAGACTGCGTCTGGCCAATGCCTCTCTCGCTCTGCCTCTGCCTCTCTACCTCTGAGGTGGTGGTAGTGGTGGGCAGCGGCTTGGGTTTGTGTTGGTGCAGTGCTGCGGTTTCTGTTGCGGTGCGGTGTTCGTGGGCAGCAGACTGGATGGTGGGAGGTAAAAAGGTACCCTACCCAGAAGCAGAACGGCCGTGCCTCTTCGCACCAGACGGACGCAGCGCAGACCAACAGGACTGGACCACCTCAGGTTGCCGTCGCGGGGATGTACATGTACTTGGGCGCGTCGTACCCTGCGAGGAGGGCGCTTCGTTAGCGGAAGACCTTGGGTAGCATTTGTTGTGTTTGTTTGGTGGGAGGGTGCGGGAGGCAGACGAACGAGACAGCAGGAGGCGGAACCTGTCCATGCGCCTGGAGCAGGTACTTGTACCTCGACCGGAAAGCCAGGAACAGAACAGACAGAGGAGCGGCCGAACGCTTTTGTTCTGTGAACAGACACTCGACCCCCAAACGCACTGGACTGCACCTCGATGCTGCTAAGCGCGTCGCGCAGTGATCCTACTGGCCGAGTCGGTACCTACCTTGGGTAGCCTGTTGGAGCAGGGAGACGGAGGAGCGGGAACAGAGCAGCTGGTGGGAAGGAGGGCAAGGTACAGGAAGAGGCAAGATAGGTAGGTACTAAGTAGGTAGGGTAAGGTAGGTACAGACTAGAAAGACGGGAGAGGGGACGAGGGGAGGGGACACGATGAGGAGGGGGGACGAGTAAGGCGAGGCAGACAGCCAGAGGCAGCAAGCAAAAGGCATCTGAACCGACTGACTGCGAGCAACAGCAATCGATTCTCGGCCAAAAACAGAAGCAACAGCAACAGCGGTCCCAGCCGAGTCAGCGGCGGCGTTGCTGCAATCGGTCAGGATGCACTTCCTCTTTGCAAGCCAGCTCCAGTTCGTGGCGGGATCGATTGCCCAAAGGGAACGAGGCACCTCCGCCCACTTGCCCGTTGCTAACAAAGACCATGTATCCAGTCCGTATTTCTCGTCTCCATGCCATGCATCAGATGTCCTGCCTCCCAGGCCATCATCTGTCAGATCTGAACTGGAAGGGCATGTCCTCCGCCCTCCTCGTGGATAACAATATCTGGAGACCTCTGGAGACCTCTGCACCCAGTCTCCAGACCACCAGACTAGTAGTAGACTTGTCAGGACAACAGATGCTGTGCAGTGCAGCACTGCCTGCAGGGAAGCCCGCATGTCCAGGACAGCTTGGGAACCCCATCTGTAACTCTGTGCGGCAAAGGTATGCGAATACGCACCACCCCGTCTCCAGTCAATAGTCTCCAGTCAATAGTCTCCAGTCCCCAGCATCAAGCATCCAGCATCCTCCAGCACACAGCATGTGCCTCATCTTGTCTTGCAGCTGCGACCCTCAGCCAAGCCCGTCGGACAGAGTACCTTCTGCGTGAATGATGAGTTGCCACGAGGGCCAGAAGGGAGCTCCGCTTTCTTCCTCTGCTTCAGATTCACAACTCGTCTGTCTTTTTCCAGTCTATCTGTGATGCGTCCCGCTGGAACTACAGTACAGCGCACCCTTCGTACGTACGCCTCAATGTAAGGCAATTACGTGGTTCCTGGTGTAAGTCGCCCGTCGTCCGTCCCCCGTTCCATCGGTCCCATAACCAACCCAAGGGCATCCTTCCAGGAACCTTCATGTCGACCTCTTTCTTGCCCGGGTTGTCTTGTTCAACTACACACAGGCCTTGCGCAAACTCTGCCATCCTACCGTCAGCCATGTGTCGCGGAGTCGCGACTATGACCCAACACCCAATTGACTCGGCCGTCTGTTATTCAGAGTTTTCTCCTCATCAACGTTATGCCGTACCTGACACCGTGACGGACGCCCGCGCGTCGCCTACGCATCCCTCTCTTCTAAAAACTGCCCCTTCAGCGCGAACTCTATCCCCAGGGTGTCCCCCCTAGAGCCGCCCGTGCTCTCTACGCCGTAAGAGCTTTCCCAGAGACGCGTGAACGTTCGCCGCAGTGAGTACAACCTGCGGCCCGACTGATCCATGTTATGGACTGGGTCTGCCGGCCAACACGGGACGAAAGAGGAGGCAGGCTGCAAACAGGCAGGGGCTGAGACGACGTCCATCACTGAGTACAGACGACGACGACTCGTCGGGCACAAGCTGCACCAAAGCATGTTGGAGTTGAGTCCCATGGTCTGCTTCTCTCGAACCGTTTCTTGCGAGATCAGTTATTCCTCAGGCGCCCAAAAGAAGCATGTCAAGCACGAACATGGCGGGGCGGCTTCCATTGCTATTCTTGGTCTGCCTGGGCTGTCATCAATTAATAAATATTGACTACGCCAGCATCGACCGGCGCAGTCTCCCGTTCAGGTCGCACCAAGGTCAGACAGCGGCCGGCCCACACCTGATTAGCGAGGACGTCCCTGGCGCAAATCATGAAGGTATCCAGTCCTGGGTATCCATTGACGTCTACAGCGCCGGAGGGCAGAGGCAAAGACTGGCCAGACATTGGTGTCTTGGTCCGAACAGTTGGGCATAAGACCTCTAGCGGCACTGATTGCCAGAGGCAAAGATTCAGATCAGAGATGCATCGCAAGATCGACGCTGGACCCCGCCCCGGCCAATGCACACACAATTCGTGGTACATACCAAAGTTGCTCACCACGCAAATGGCACAAGCTTCGAGAGAGAGCTCTGTGCTTTTCTCTGATGAGTGAGGTGGACAGCCTGAAGCACAAACAACCATCCGGTCCTTAGCCAGGCGCTATTCCACTAGCTGCATCTCAGCGGCCATCAGTGCCCATCCGTGGGGCAACCCACAAGCCGACGGATGGGCTCTGCATCGCAAATTGCGCTGCTGTCGTCCATTTCTCCAAGGGTGGGAAAATGACCGTGATGAAACTTCAACTCTGATCGATGGTCTCCCGCATCTCCTTGAGGCTGCAGCTGCTGCTTCGCTGGCGTCGGTAAAGTCAGCAGCCCAGAAAGCCACGTGCAGAACAGCGGTCATCGAAGTTTCCAGCGCCATATTGGAACTGTTAAGGTCAGAGACGGACGGCAAGCAGCGAAGGGGGTCTGGCTTCATGCGTCTCTCTCGTCAGCATCATTGGATTGCCGCGGAACGCCGGGCTTACAGCGTCACAACGCAACGGCGGGAGACACCTCAATGCATATGACGACCAGATCATTGGACAGCCTGGCGAGGCATAGGGTGAGCGGGAGTATGAGCGTCGCCGCGTTGGGCCGTCCGCAGACCGCAGAACGCAGGGCGCATCACGCAGCTTAACATCAGGACAGTATCACAGGCCACACATCCAACCCAGTCCAACCCTGAGAGGCAGGTAATTCCTCCGACGATCCGACCCAGAACGACTTGCAACTTGCCAGATTTCCTTGCCAAAATAGCACTGGTAGCACATAACTGATGGGCCGACCACAAGACCCCCGGAGAGGTCTAGCCCTTGAATCCTTCCAGGACAAGACCGTCAGGGTCCATATCTTTTTTGATATGCTTGCTGCATTGCCTCCTCGGTCGCACCCTGCTTCTCCAGCGTGCCCGTATCCGTCAGGCAAGGCTGTTTTACGATGTGGCCTTTGACAGTAGTAGGTCTCGACCGTTCTCGTCTGTTTTAGCTCGATTGTTTGCTCTTTCAGACAGTCTGTCTGACTCTCATGCTCAGCCAACCGCCATCCGGACGTCCAAAGTCATCTAGAATTTTGTTGGCGTTTCTATTTCTGGCTCATGAGTCACTGAAAACTGTAGCTGCATTTGGCCCGGCCACTGATTGGTGCCCTTGAAAGCGTCGTTTGTTTCAGCATCTGCGAGCGCCTAACAGCCAATCACAATAGCAAACTCCGAGAAGCACTTGGGAACGCCCTAAATCCATGTTTCTAGTGGGACCTCAGGCAGGCGAGACCAAAGTCGATGGGCTGCTTACTTAATGCATCCGCTCTGTCACGGCCCGGCTTTCTGCCGAAGGAGAGCTCGCGTCGTCGGTGCCCTCCACTTTATTTCCTCCAAAACCCAACGTCAT